AACGGTGGCAAACTATCACCAAATCAAACCAAATCAGTCATATGTCGCTCATTGCCATCATCTCATGCCATACCTGTCCCTCTCCTAAGAACTCAATCTTCTCATATCTCTTGTGTTTCTTATTATCGTTGGAAGAATACATTGATTAGTGATATAATGGGCAATGAATGCCACAAATGAGACAAACAAGTGATGAATAATTTGCTAAACCTTTCAAACTTTAACATTCATTACAAACAGAGATCCAACACATGATTGCATTGAAAAGTGCATGAAATTTGGTGCCAATTGTGCGCAAACCACTCATATATGCAGTAATCGATGCATGCGGTGAGGGGTGCAGTCAGTGCCACACAATTCTATTACATTCTCATAAATGCATTAAAAAAGGGGTACTTATTATGGTCTACAGTATATCAAGCAACTTTATTGAATTTTACTTTTGAAAATTAAATAAATAATACACATACTAATAAAAAATATTTAATTTAATTTAATGCTAAAGTATGAGTGGAATTTTATTCATAAATTATATAATATATGACTGTATGCTCTCATAAATAGTTAAGCGATAAAAACTGAGTGTTGAATGTATGTCTGCAGTGAATGCTATATATGAGTGAGTGTTCACTCAATGCGCGTGAATGTCAGACTCAGACTGACTGTCAAATTGGTGTAAACAACACAACAATACTGTTATTGGTTTGCAATGAGTGCTCACTTTAATTGCAATTAAATGCTAATTGTTTTCCATTCAGTTCACTGCAAACACAACCAATTCTCACATTTGATCTGCAAATTGATGACTATTTGGTGATTAGATGGCAAACATGTGATGTGCAATGGATTGACTGAATTGGCATTACTGTAACTGTAATCAATTGATTGTATCCTGGTCATATTCGTGACTCAATGACTGCAATGAATGCAATGATTGTGTGTTAGGTTTGGATGAATTGCTTGTAATGTATATTGAAATCAATTCAGATGTGATATTATGGCGAATGAATTCACAGTCAATGCAATTAATAGCAATTCAAACACCAATCACAGCATTAATCTCAACACGAGTGATGAGATCAGCGACCAATTGATTGAGAAGCTGTTCCCGAAGTGTCGGCCAAAGACTACTCGCACCCATGAATTGAATGACTTGAACGAGAACTACAGCCTTCGTAACCGAAATAAACATATTTTAATAGATCTGGACTTAGATGTGATTAATGATAACACGATGAATGAGTCCAAACACAGAGACAAGGATGGAGTGCAGACCGACAACAACTGCATTAAAAGCAGTCTCACAAACATTGGCTTCAAATTAGACCAACTCTTGCTGTCTCCCGAAGAAGAGTACAAACCATTGAATTACAACTTCATTAACAAACCATTGCTGAACAGCAATGAAGACATTGATGGAGAGGAACACAGTGTTGGCAAAGACTTGACTCTTAGGGAGAGTCGCATAGAGATCGCCGGCGGGAGAGAGATATTCAGCGCCTCTAAGAATAAGATGAATAAACGAAGACTTTTGAGCCATAATTACGGGTCCTGTGAGGACAAGGGGTCGCAAAGTGTGATGAAATGCAAGCGAAACAATACCACACAAACTCGCGTCAATCATGACAACCACATCATCAACAATGACATATCACTTGAATCCGATTCTCTGGTTAACTCATCTACCAATCAGTCATCTGTTGGTGACATCAACACTGATTTCAACAAAAGCGTTGAACACAAACACAGACTTTTGTCCGGAATTGTTGTTTACGAAGACTTCTCTACTAAAGTGGACTCTGAGATCATTTACGATGACATCGAAGAGATGGACAAAAGAGAGCTTCAATTGTCTGTTAAACCGATTGCATCTGAAATGCACGACTCGGACAACAATTCTTTAAATTGTGTCAACGAATCCTCACTTAATGGCGATTCCATCGATAAAAGTGATGACAAAGCAAACAGTTTTGAGAGTAACGAAGAATCTGAAGACAACAAAGAGGACAGTGCTTCCAGAGATCAGTTAGCAGTTGCAGAGGGAAGCAAAGAGATCGCCCGCATTATAGGCAATGTTCCCATCGCTCAATACGACGGCTCTCCCCGAAGATATGGACCAAAACCTCCGGGTTATCCCCAAAGAGTTATTAATAATGAAGACATGTCTGTAGGTTTGGCCAACTCTGCCATTGAATCTAAAGGATTGGTAGACATATCATGTGATGAATTGGTGAAATCCATTCTTAGTATTCCCACACAATATGAAGACTCGCCGACCAATAGCTGTACGAATGTGTCAAACGGTTCAAAGTCTCACTCATCAGGCATTCAAAGCGCGGCCATCAGTGAACACGAGTCCGATAAGAATGACGTTATTATGGAAACAAGTGATATGAATGTTTACCAGTTCTCAGACCTGGATTACAAACTCTATAGAATGGATAGCGTTGGCAACTCATATGTAGGCAAACGTTTGGCTACTCTCTCCTCTGCCAACTCAGAAGATGACACTTCTGTGGCCGTCAGTCCATCTAAAAGTGTTAACAATGACTCCAATTCAATGATAGCTCACGAAAATGAGTTGATTCTACTGCACGAACGCGTCCGACAACACATTCTCAGTGAAATGGTATCAGTGGACAGATCGTCGGTCAGCACCGGTGCCGACACGGAACCCGAGCCTGAGGTCTGTCACAGACCACAGGAAAGTAACCGAAACTTTACTCTTTCGCCTGACATTACTGATTGTGACAGCAATGAGATTGAGAGCGAACTGTCATTAGAGGGCAGTTTGCTTTCCAACAGCAAAATTGTTATAATGCCTGTCCTCGAAGACGGTCTCTCCAGTGGTGTCCCCTCCAGTGATAATGAGTTGGAAGAGGAGGTGAACTGTGAGTCGCCCACCACTAAGAGACAGATCTGCGAACGACTTGAAGAGGAACTTATGGCCAAACTTAAGGCTAAACTTAAACGAAACGATAACTTATTAGAGCATCAAATCGGATACAGTACTCATAATAATATCAATGCTTTGAATCATTCAGAGACTTACAGTAAGTGATTTTGAGTCAATATATTATCAATGAATTTATCATTTGTTAAATAAATAATTGAATGTAAATTAAAGGAAAAGACGCGAATGATTCACAAAATTATTGCCTCGAAATGGAGAATAAATCAGCGATTGATGAGTCGAGAGATAAACAAACCAATCGACAGAATAACGAAGCGAATGATATTAATAATTCAAAAGCAAACCAATCGTATGACTCGATTTGGATTCCGAGGTTAGTTTTGATTTAAATAATTATCAACACAATTAGCCATATATATGTCTTACGAAATGATGACATTTCATGTTTAGAAACAATGAAATGAATGGAAATAAGTCAGTAGTGAATGCCAACACCGATGACTCGACCAATTGTGAGGCACACCAACAGTCGCGACATCACGACGAAGGTTACCATTAATTATATGCTGTTTAAGAGCTATATTTGAATGCAATGTTTATATGATTGATTAGACTGTGATACCGATCAAGAAACGGATCGATTATTAGGCGCTCAACGCACTGACGATCGCGGCTTCTTTGACGACAAAGTGAGTCCTCAATATGTGTTTCCATTAATTCCTCAAATTATATGCTTTCCATACAATTACAAGCAATCCATGAATTATCTCAATCATAGTGTTTGAGAGAAAAGCATTTAATCAAATGTTTTGCGCAGATGTTTGCCATACATTGAGTGCTTAAAAGAAAGCAAATATCATATTAAATACAAAAGTACATTACAATATGATACCTATTGTGTTAATTGTCCACAATTTATTTCAAAATATCTAAATTCTGTCTATTAGTGCAATCTTATGGTTGACGTGTTTTTACATTGCTATTCATTTTATAGTGATTTTATTTTCATTTCAATTTAAATTTCAGTCGATTTAATGCCTGATTTCAGGAACGACTTAATTTTAGACTCTCTTCTATGTCATCTCTATTTAAATTCAATTCAAGAAACAATGACTACATTAGAGTTGATAACTATTGTGAATCAGAAGAACAGGTGATTATGACATCCAATCAAACCAATCAATTAAAACACTTGCTTTTCTACTAATGTGCTCACAATTGGTTCACAATTCATATTAAAATATAATCATTTATTAAATTTAGTAATCAACTTAATCCTATATGTTCACAATAATCACAAAATCCTATATATTTCATAAAAATTCACAATACTATTTACACTCAAACTTACTGTATTAATACACAATTACTATAACTTATTTGAATTGATTTCATTGTTTTACTTGCAAACGTATCACTACGATATACTGTAGGTTAAACACTAGTTTACTGTATAGAGTATGCACTTATATTTTGCTTTGGCTTTTTAATTTAATTGATCTGTCTCACATATGTTTTCGCCACTAAATTTAATAACAATTTCTGAATAAAACTAAAGCATTTTTTAATAAACTTTTATTACAAATACATTTTTAGAACAATTCAAACAAGAGATCAAATGCCACCCGAGAGGGTATGACTTGTTTTTATTTATATATTTATATATATTAATATTATCTCATATTTATACCGTATTTACACTGTATTACTATTATCTGATCTCATCTATCATTCTTTTCTTATCAAATGCTTTCTCTCTTTTCATGAAATGTGAGTAAAATTGAGTTGATTTGTGTCATCAAAGTAACAATATTTGCCTCCAATATGTTGTTGTAGTTCTCATTCACGACCCGTCAGTCCTCATTGAGGGCGTCTTATTCCGGGCCCGATATCTGGGTTCAACACAACTGGTGTGTGAGGGACAGCCCACTAAAGCCACGCGTATGATGCAGGCCGAGGAGGCCGTCTCCAGGATCAAGGTCTCTATACTTTCACTTCATATTCCTCCTTATTATTGATTTTTATTTATTCAATCAAAATAATAATTAGAATAATTTTTAAATATAATTTACATTTATTGTTTATTAATAATATTACCATAATTGCTAAATATTGGACTATTTATTGTTTGCTCTTATCAATTCATTCACTATCTATTGCACCTTATTCAATAACCATAATATGGATATATATTATATAGATATTCTATCAATAACGTGATATTCCTATTATTCTTGCAATTAACATTTCAAATTCTGAAGTCACCAAGACAATGTTTCTAATAAGATTTTTATGTCTTTCTATATCGCATACAAAAACGTCATTTTTCTTTTTAAAATCTATTATTCAACCAGTGACAATTCATAAGCCATGCATAAATCTACTGTTTTCATAGAATATTCTTAATACCTGTATATTGTAGTTAATATTACCGTACTTATCATAGTCCTTACAACAATTTGAACGTATTACAAAAGTTGAACAAGTCCCGTTGTGTTATTGAACGAAATCATTAATCAATAGATAATGAAAGGGTTTATAAACTTTATACTATAGTATAGTAACTATACTGTGTGTCTTGATGTGTAACCTTTTGTCTTATTATATTCATAAAACCCATAATTAAAATATAAATAAATATTTACTTTTATTTGTGCTTTCCTTAAGACTTTGGTGAGTCATTAATTTATGTCTAATTTAGTGGCTATTGTAGTGAATTAGTAAAATTGTTTAATGATTACATAATACTTAAGGCACCGGAAGGTGAGACTCAGCCGAGTACTGATGTGGACCTCTTCATCTCAACTGAGAAGATAATGGTTCTCAATACAGATCTTAAGGTTTAAACTGATGATTGAATTGTTTGCAAACATTTGCTAACTTTGTATATATGAATAGGAGATAATGATGGACCACTCTTTGCGCACCATTTCATACATTGCAGACATCGGTGATCTACTGGTGCTTATGGCCAGACGACGGATCCTAAACCCAATGGACGAGACAAATGACGCCAATATTAAAAGGATTCCTAAAATGATTTGTCATATATTCGAGTCAGAAGAGGCTCAGTTCATCGCTCAGTCCATTGGACAGGCCTTCCAAGTGGCGTACATGGAGTTCCTTAAGGCTAATGGCATCGAAGACAGCAGTTTTGTTAAAGAAATGGATTATCAAGAAGTGCTTAACTCTCAGCAAATATTTGGTAACGAATTAGAAATGTTCGCCAAAAAGGAGAAACAAAAAGAAGTAATTTTCAAATGCATTCAATTTGTTGTTCAATATTCTAATATCTATGAAATGAATGTTTAGGTTATTGTTCCCAAACAAAAGGGAGAGATATTGGGAATGGTTATCGTGGAGTCCGGTTGGGGCTCAATGTTGCCCACAGTTGTCATCGCAAATATGGCACAACAGGGACCCAGTGCTCGATGCGGTCAACTCAATATTGGCGATCAGATTATCGCCATCAACGGTGTTAGTCTTGTAGGCCTTCCCTTATCTACCTGTCAGACATATATTAAGGTATAAAATACATCTATGGCTTGTTTAGTGGTTTCATTATTGAATAATTAAAATGCTGTAGAATACAAAAAACCAAACTGTAGTCAAGTTCACAGTGGTTCCCTGTCCTCCCGTGGTTGAGGTGAAGATTAAGAGACCGGACACTAAATACCAGCTCGGGTTCAGTGTTCAGAATGGAGTGGTTTGTCACCTCTTTCTTGTGTTTACAACCAATAATACATTTGAAGACACATTTGCTTTATTGCTTCAACAGATATGCAGTTTATTGCGCGGAGGTATTGCTGAGAGGGGAGGAGTGAGAGTCGGCCACAGAATCATTGAAATTAACGGACAAAGTGTTAGTTTGAAAATCTTGTCAAATGTGTTGATGTAGTGTTAAGTAATGTTAATTTGTGTGCACAGGTGGTTGCAGTGCCACACGACCGCATCGTTAATTTATTGGCCACTTCTGTTGGAGAGGTCTGTCCCCCAAATGCTATTCCACACAATGATTGCAATGACAATAAATGGTGATTTGATTACAGATTCTCATGAAAACAATGCCCACATCTATGTTCAGACTATTAACGGGACAGGAAATGCCTACTTATATGTGATGTGATTGTATTGAATCGGCGATTGGATTCGTTGATCATCTGAAATGATTTTTTGTTTTTATCATTTGGTTTCCACATAAGACCCGACAGTTGGTGCCTTTTTTTGGTAATACGATTGCATGGTGTTTGCGATTATCAGTTCAGTTAATGGCTTCAAATCTGTTCATTAATACATTGATTATTATATACACCGATAATAACTGTATTGAATATAGAATATAATCAATTTGATATGTCTTATGAGTTAAACTAATCCCTAATATTTGTGAAAAGCATTGAATTTAAGTCATATTTAAGCCATTAATATATGAATAGGAAGTGATTGAAATACAAGTCGTGTGCTTATGAGGTATAAGGTGTGAGTGAATGACAGCTAGAAATCTAATCAGTTGCTCACCAATCGATTACTCTATTCCCGAACCAAAGATGCTTTCATTCCTTACACTAAATATTACTTAAACTCATTCTTACTATAAATTGCTTTTATATAAAACTGGTGTTCACTTAAGTCTTAAGTTAATATACCGTTTAGTCACAAATGAGTCATCCCTAGCCCCCAACCCCCGCCCAATGCAATAATTGTGCAATTTGTCTGATGTGTTACTGTATTTGTCAGTGCATTGGTGTGTCATAGGTCTGACCGGAACTTAAATCAAACTTCAAATCTACCGATGTTTTCATTATTTATTATTAAATTTTAAAATGTTTTCCAAAAAGTATATGATTTTCTCTAATTTTTATATTTAGTCAATAAATTGAAATAAATTTTAAACATTTTTTAATCTAAATATTTATTTGTAACTTATTTATTATAACCTAATACTGTATTTATCTTTTTGAAAATGTAAGTATTAACGTATTCCTATTGAATTCTTATTGGCATAAGCTCCAAGTAAGTACTTATACATAAATTGTTTTAAATTGTTACAATAATGATTTATGAAATATAATTGTAACACTACATCGGAAAACATTGTGTGAGTTTGAATTTGTTACAACCAAATAATGTGCCCTATTATTATATACAACAAATTGGTAACTCATTAGCTTTTTCATAATAACTTACTTGCTCATTTCCCATTAATTTAGTTATAATATTATTGTAGTTAATAATATAGTTATTATTATGGCAGATAAATTTATATTTGGAAATGATATTTGAGGTTAAAAATTATTATAATATTTTCCAAAGAAAATGTAAAATGTACAAGGACGTTTGGAATTCACACAACACATAAGTTGAGACACTGTAACAGCCTATAAAAATTAATTTCTCGTCGAATAACAGTTATTAAACGAGTGGGTCATTCAAACACTCCGATTGCTCGATTTGAAAGAGAATTTAAAAGTAACTAGTACAGTATGATTTTCTATGGAATTCGTAAACATTTTCAAAGAACACATACTATAATAAGCACTAAACTGAAACATATTCTTGTACTTTATTAAATATTTCAGGCATAGTCTTAATTGTCGGTTGTCTGTGCATGTTGCTGCCTCATTTTTCCTGTCGATTCCTGTTGCCTAACGTTGCCTGTCGATTAGGGTTGGTTGGTCAATTTCACTGTTTTATTTATATTTATTGACTATTCAGTTATTATAGCCATTACTATATTGCTGAGTTACATATATAAATAAATCATTATTTATCACAAGTGATTAGTAGTGGTCATTATTGACTAATGCATGCAATCAAAATTATTTTAATGAATTTTCATCTATTTGTTAAATATACCGTACAAGTAGATTAATCAATTTACCAAAAAATGATTCACCATTACTGACTAACACAATTTTGACAAATAAAAATTAATTTTAATGTCCAAGAATAATTGAAATCTTAAAATATATTTTTTATAGATTTTAAAAAATATTGTACAATTAGATTATCACTGACCACTACTGACTAATAATGATTTATTTATATTAATTTATTTAACTCAGCAATATAGTAATGGCTATAATAATTGTCAATAATTATAAATTTAAAAGTGAAATTGACTAGCAACCCTAAACGACAGGCAAAATTAAATTGCCTGTCGACAGGCAACAACAGGCAATCAACAATTAAGACTGTGCCTATATTTCATGGACACAAAAACTTAAAAATTATTAAAAATAATATGATTATAAAACTGCATTATTTCTATGCAATTTATGAGAATCATATTACAGTATTTCGATATTCATATCGATAAGTGAGAAAGCTACTATTAAATTTAATAATGAACCAGAACTTATACATGTAACTTTTGTATGCTTGATGTTTTATATTGTCATTTTGTAAAATATATCAGAGAAAGGAATATGAGATAAGGCTCAAAAAAATGCTTTAAAATTTTAATCTTTAATCTTACATGTAAAGTTCAAAAGCATTATTAAAAGTTAAAATTGCCATAAAGCATTTTATGGAGACTCATCTCATATTCCTTTCTTAGATAAATTTATTTTATTAAGAATTCTAATGTAATTAGGCGTCATCCACAAAGTACGTACGCAAAATATTGGCCAAAAATTGACCCCCTTCCCCCTACACGCCCATCGTACATAGGAGTTAAATAAATTAATATAAATAAATCATTATTAGTCAGT